ACGGGACAGGCGGTCAGTTAAGAGTTGAATTATTTCGCAAAAACATCCGCCGTAAACGACCGAAATTGTGGGCCAACAATTTCCGGAAGCTTTCATGACGATAAAGCACAGTGAGCTGTAGTTATAAACGATTTTAAGACCAAAAATTCGTTCAAAAACTCAACTCCGTGGAACCAGTTTCGAACCGATTGAGGCCAAAAAAAAAAAAAAATTCGAAGAGGAAACTGAGATCTATTGATATCAACAACTGCTGCAAATAAACTAATTGACAGATCGCGCTCATTTTTGGGCATAGTAATTGAGGACAGTGCTGCCAACTCAACAAAAAAGTGCTGAAATATATTAAGCGCGGGCAGTTTAAATGAAAATTTCCAGAAACTTTCTGGTCTTAACGTATACGTTAAGTGTATGAACCACTTTATCGGTGGTAGAAAAAAGTTAAAATATAAATAAAAAATTCCTAATAGTTTTGGATGATAAATTACATTATAGAAATAAGATCAACACAGATTTCACTTAAAAGTATGCACTTAACTTAAAAGTATGCCTGTTTATTGCTTTTTCATACATATTTAGCTCTTTATCGAGATATAAAAGCAAAAAGTTTGTTAGAATACAGTCACTGTTTAAAGTGATTAGAGTTGTCGATTTAAATGTTTTCGATATAAATTAGGAATAGTAAAAAGTAGTCCATTATTAAAAAATTAAAAGCTTCATTTTTCATAGTTAGAATAATCCGTTTCGCTCGGCAATTTTTTTTTATTTAGAACGTGATGCCACTATGCCTCTTCCACAGAAACTCTCGTCCCAATTTGGCTTCTTTTGAGTCCAATCCTTCACCAGCCAAATCATTCGCCAGAAACACAAAACAGTTGGTAATCACTTGGTGCAATGTCCGGACTAAAAGGAGGTTATAAAAGAACCTCCCAACCAAGCTCTTGGAGCTTTTGGCTAGTCACCATCGGGGTGTGTGTGGTTTGGCGTTATCCTGTTGCGACCATCAAATCGTCGAACCGACCAATGCTCGTATAACGGTCAGTCTCGACGATTTCCATTATTTTCTCAACATTTTCGACTATTGGATTTCCACACTATGGGGCATTTTTTTAAATCAAAAATTTTCCTCTTCTTCTCTATTGGAGTTGTCACCGCTTTTGGTGATACCAGTTGGAAATACCAAGTGAAGCCAGGTCCCTCCACCAGACTAGAGGTCTTCCAGTTTCTCTGCTTCCACCAGCGGGTACTGTATCGAATATTTTCAAAGCTGGAGTGCTTTCATCCATTCGGACGACATGACCTAGCCAACGTAGTCGCTGCCTCTTTATTCGCTAAACTACGTTAATATTTTCATATAGCTCGTACAGCTCATCGTTCCGTCGTCTGCGGTTTTCGCCGTTGCAAAGACTCCCAAAGCCGAGTCCAAAGTAGCACCGGCTGGCAAGAATGATTATGCGTTGGATTTCAAGGCTGACATTATTATTGGTGTTAATTCAGGTCCCCAAATAGAACTATCCACGACCTCGAGGTTATGACTGTCAGCAGTGACGTGGGAATCAAGTCGCGAATGTTGACTGCTTGTTTGAAGGGTGTTTTAAAATCGACGAAGATGTGGTCACGGATCTTTTTCAAGATTTGGAGCATGGCGAATACCGAACCTCGACATGGTCGGTTAATGCAACATCTTTTCCATTGTCATCGATTATTGTTTCGGTTTCTCCACCTCCGGGTGTTTCATCTTCACTGACATCCCTTCCTCCCTCCTCCCATTATATTTTTAGTAAAAAATAGAATTTTTCTAATGCCATCTAGTGTAATCCAGGCGCACTTATAGAATGAGCACAGATTTGTAAAAATAATGGATTGTTTTTTACTAGACGAAATATTATGTCAATCTAATATGAAATATGAAATCTATGAACAGAAGAGTTTTTAATGCTCTGATATGCCGGCTGCACATAACCTCAATTATTTATGCACGCAGACGCCATTCCGAGTTCTTGACGTTAAGATTGAATACAATGTTTTGAGGCTCTATTGCCCTAATCTATATATGTACACGTAAGTATTCTAAATTTCCCAATTACTCATGAATAAAATATTGATTATCTCATTGTCACTGTACGTGCAACCACAAAATGCATTTATGTTTATTTATTAATTACTATCACCTCACTCACTGGTTCATGTAATATTCTGGCAACACCAGAAGCAATAAAAATAACCATTTCCGTTTGTAATATTTCCGTGTAATATGTTTTACTATTTTTGCTTATTTTATTTTATTTGTGTTTTTCCCAAACTGAACGTTGGGCGTATTTAATTTTGGACTACATTATATATTTAATTCGATTAATCAAATTATTACTTAGAAGCAGAAACGTAATAATAATAGCACACTTATTGCTATATTCAAATATATACACGTATGTGTTTGTATGTATTACTAAATATGTTTATTAAAAGCTACTTAATATTAATATTTGTATGTGTACTAAGTGTTACAAACAATTACTTATGAGTGCTTACATACAATAAAATTAAATTAAAAAGGCTTACAATTTTATATCGAATGCATCACATTTTATTTGTTTAAGTTTTTTTCTGCTATTCGCTAAAAGTTATGGACTCGAACATTACTTTAATTATATTATATATTCGATGAACTTACTTATAATACAATTACTTTTTAATGCGTAGAAATCGTTCATATATTTATTATTGTTCTATTAGCTATATTTAACTAATTTTTATTATATTTTTATTAATTTTTTTTTTTGTTTTATTTGGTTTACTTTGTTTTAGTTCACATTTTATTATATTTTTGATTAAATTACTTTAATTTATAATTTAATTTATTTCCATTTAAATTGTTTTATTTAAATAAAATTTGTTATTTTTATTTTATTTCACTTTTTAATTTTTTATTTATTTTTCTTTATTTTACTTCAACTTGTTATATTTTATTTATTTTTTTTTTAATTTTAGTTTATTTATTTTTGCTTGTGTTTTATTTCATTTTAGCTTGTTAAGTTTAAATTCGTTTTTTAAAGTTATTTTCTGTTATATTTTCAAGTTATTTTATTTTATTTTTTTTAATGTTATTTTATCTTTTTTTGTTTAATTTCTTTGGTTTTATTTAATTAATTATATTTTTTTCTATTTTGTTTATTTATTTTATTTTATTTTAAATGTTTGTACTTTATTTTAATATAATTTATTTAATTTATTTTGTTTTATTTAATTTATTTTTATTTTAGTTTATCTTATTTTCAGTTATATTATGTTAATTGTACTACTTTACTTTAATTTATTTTATCTAATTAATTTTCCCAATTTATTTTTGTTTGATTTATTTTAAGTTTTTCATTTCATATCATTTTATTTAACTTCATTTTATATTAATATATTCTATTTTATTTTCATTTTATTCCATTTATTTTCATTTTATAATTTCATGTTATAATTGTTTTATTTTACTTTATTGTTTTTTATTATTTTTATATATTTTATTTTTATTTCGTTTATTTTAGTTTTATTTTACTCTGTTTATGTAATTTTTATTAGTTATTTTATTTTTCATTTATTTTAATTTATTTTTTTTTTATTTTTTTTTATTTTATTTTATTCAGTATATTTTGTTTTACTTTACTTAATTTAGTTTATTTCAATTTATTTATTTTCATGTATCTTATATTATTTTGTTACTTTTTATTTTATATATGTTTTTTTTTGTAATGTATTTCATTTTTTTTTAATTTATATTATTTTTTATATCGTTTTAATTTTTTTTATGTTTTTCAAATTTATTTATATTTATTTTATTTTATTTTGGGTTATTTCATTCTAATTTATGTTTTTTTTTATTTTAATTTTATTTCATTTTATTTTATTTTATGTTCTTACTTATTTAAATCAGTTTAGCTTTGTTTTATTTGTATTTTACAATACTTTATTATATATTATTTTACATTAATTATTCTTTTGGTTCTATATTTTATCTTATTGTGTTTATATTTATATTTTTGTGCTTAAATTATGTTTTGATTATATTCTATATTTTGTTATATCTTACATTATATTTTATTTCTATTTAGCTTACGTTATTTTATATTAATTTTATATTTTTTATACTTGTTTATTTATTTAATTTTTTTTTGTACGTAATATAATTGTTTCCTGATTTTTAATCTTTTATTATTTTATTTTATTTTATTGTATTTTATTGTATTTTATTTTATTTTATTTTATTTTATTTTATTTTATTTTATTTTATTTTATTTTATTTTATTTTATTTTATTTTATTTTATTTTATTTTATTTATATTGATTTATTTCACTTTTTATTATTATCTTTATTTAATTTTACATATTTTACTTAATTTAGTTTTTTTTAATTTTTTTAGTTTAGGTTATTCATTTTGATTTATTTATTTAATACTATTTTAATTACTTGTAATTACTGAAGTTAAACAAAGCGCCATTTATATATATTTATTTTAGTTAAATTATTTCATTTTAGTTGATTTCATTTAATTTTACCTTATTTAAGTTTATTTTGTGTTATTGTATTTTAACTTTATTCTTTTAATCCTATTTTATTTTATTTGGTTTATTTTTGGTTTTATTTTTTTTATTTTCTTTAATTTCCTTTTTTAGTTTATACTTTTTTTTATTTATTTGGTTTACATTTAAAAGATTTTTTTTTTAGTTATATTATTTCATTTTTCCATTTCTATGTTTTTACTTATTTCTTCAATTTATTTTTTTGTGAATTCAATCGTTTTGTTTTTTTCTTAATTTTTATTATAAATATGTACAGAAATGTATTGTACTTGGACGAGGAGTAAAATTATAAATAGAATAGAATTATGTACAATTGCCAATCGGGGGCCAGCTAACGATATTAAAAAAATTCATGTGATAAAAACACTTTAATTTATTTTTTTTAATTAGTTTTTTCAATCGTTATTTATAATTTATGATTTTTAAATTTTTTTTTTTTTGATTTTTATTTGAAAACATATTTTCGAACATATTTTTATTTTGATAGTTTTCTTTTATAAAGTATTCATAACAAAGACAAAACTAACAACTTGACTTGGCTACCATTATCAGCCCGTATGCATGTATATGTGTATTAAGATCCTCAATAAAAAGTAAGAATATAAAATAAATATTTAACTCTTCTTCATATTTATTACGACTAACACTTAGAATATAAATTCGTATACCTTTTGTAAGTAGTTTGTGTGTGTTCATTGAGAGCGAGTACTAAAAGTAATTAAAGTTCGTTGCTTTGCATTGATATCTCGAAATCGTCTAGACTCCATCCATCGCGTTTGTAACAGCTGCCTCATGTGTGGTTTATCTTTCAGCGTTTCGAAGAACTCGAACGACACTCACACACACACACACCAGCGCTCGCGATAAGTGTGTCACTTCGGTTTGTTAGCAAACTGGGGCTCATAAGAAGCCCAACTTCTCGCCAATTGCACGTCTTGCTCGCCCCCTTAGACGCCATATTTAATGCCATAATCTTGATAGTGACTCACATGCGAACGATAATGACTCAGATTGCTCAGATTACTTAAATTTCCCAGATTCCCACTCAAATGATGGTGGTGGTGGTGATGATGACTGCTAATCACGGACGCCGCTGCTGCCGCCGATGCAGCCGCTGCACTCGCACTGGTCGGTGGGCTGGCGGATTGAAGGCTGCCGTTCGGACTGCCCGTGTCCATTTGGCATTGCTGATTTTGCTCGAAGAGCATATCACGAAAGCCGAGTGTAGTGTGACCCGTCACCACGCCGCCGACAATTGCCGACGGTGTGCTGGTTACCGTTAATGCCGACGCATGCAGCTGATTGCCAACATGCACACCTGTCGGACCGTTATGATTATGATTATTATTATTATTATTGTTGTTGTTATTATTGTTATTACTGTTATTATTTGGTGTGCCCGCGGTATTTGCACTGCCATTTGGACCACCACCGCCAGCGCCGCCATTGCCAATCGGCTCAGATGGTGGCGTCTCAGGTGTATACCAACCTCCATGTGTTGGACCATGTGGCGTTGAGATCGTTGTAGGTGAGGCGCCCGAGGTGAGTGCGGTAGTACCAACTAAGCCACCACCACCGCCGCCGCCGCCGCCATGCAGCTGTACACCTGCGTGACTGCCAGGCGTTAACGGATGCGTATGCGAGACGTGTGCGGCATGATGATGTCGCAGCTGTGCGTGATGCGCGGCAGCGGCGTGATGGGTATGCATTTGCGTGGAGGCGACGGCTAAATTATCCTCATTCAAGTGATAAGGGTAGGCGCTGTGGTGTATGCGTGGATTGTAGACGTTCATCAGTGAGTCCACGGTGAAACCGGCATGTTCCACAGTGCCGGTCAGATGATTCATTTGCGCCAAACTGTCGTGGCAGGAATTCAGCATAGCCGTGCTCAGACCGGTGTGCATATCTTTGCCCGCCAAGCAGCCGAGCTCCATGATGGGCTCCTTCTTGAAATGTGCATGCGCTGCCATATGTTTGTGATCCAGAATGCCGTTGGTCATCAATTTCAACGGCTTAATCTCCGCCAACTTTTCATTCATCATCGCTTGACGCTTCATCGCCTCCTCCTTCTCGCGCAACACATCTTTTTTCTTGAAACGTCGACGCCGTCGCAAAAACGAACCATTATCAAACATATTGTAAGAGTCAGGATCGAGCGTCCAATAAGAACCCTTACCCGGTTTCTTATCATCACGTGCCACCTTCACAAAACACTCATTCAAACTGAGATTGTGACGTATCGAGTTCTGCCAACCCTGCTTATTATCACGATAGTATGGAAAACGATCCATTATATACTGATAAATGCCGTTTAGTGTGATCTTCTTATCGGCCGAATTCTGTATCGCCATGGCGATGAGCGCTATATAGGAGTAAGGCGGTTTTACGATCTCCTTATTTTGATGAGGCGCGCCAAGGCCGTAAGCACTTGCCGGATACGAGTAACGTGAATACTGATCGTAGGCGTAATGTGCCGCTGCCGCCGCCGAAGCTGTTGTCATGGCGCCGGCGGTGGCCGCACTCGGATAGCCGGCGGTTTGTGCGTAATGACGCGAAAAGGAGTTCTGATCGGTGAAGAGCGTATGCATGGTTGCCGTATTTTGCTTGATTGATGGAGGATAGCTGTTGATTTGTTTTTGAGTGGCGTTAGACGCCGTTTGCTGCACCAGTTGAAGAGGGGAGCTTTTTTTAATTGAAAAAATCAAAGTATTGGTATCAAATTATGTTGTGTGGAGCCGTGCCAACAATTTGATGTCACTATTTATTGTTGGAAAGTGGTAATACGAAGAATTTCAACACTAAACACAGCTGTGTCTAATTTTCAACATTTTTTATTTTAATTTTCTTTTTGTTATTAATTTTGCTTTTCCGCTCAATTAGCTACACCGCATCATTTTTTGTGACTATTTAATATTTTTTTTTATTTTATACGCGCGTTTATTTGTTTTCGCAAGCCGCAAGTCCTCTACGATCGCTAAATACTTTTGTTTGCTTAGAAAATATTTATTTAATTTCACTTGTTAGTATGTTTTTAAGTAAGCGCTGGGTGATCCGTCGCTAGATTGGTGCGCGCCGTCGTCGGCAGAACAGTTCCTTGGCGAGTCTAGGGAAATACCGAAAGAGTACTGGGCACTGGCAAGCTGCACATGTATGGCGAAAGACGCTTTTCTATATTTATTTACCGTTATTTTTATTTTTACTATTTTTATTTTTACAAAAACAATTTCGCGCTACCATTGACACAAAAGTGGTGTGGCGAGTGTCTATAACCACATATGTAAGTGCATACATACATATATATTTAATGAATTTCGTATTTTGCCCTTTCCACTTTAAAATGCCGTTAGTCTACTTTTTGGGCACTTTGGTTTGCCTCTGTGTTTTTCTTACTTTGTTTTTATTTTTTTATGATTTTTATTTTTTTATTTCTCTGACTATGGCACACCGAGTCACCGAGCTAAGCGATCCGTTCGGGATAGTAACACGTCAGATACTGAATCTGTAGCTGAAATAACATTCACCTCGAGTCCGAACGCAATGTGTGAAGTGGTAGTAGCAAAGGAACGTTGTGTGGATGCGCGTATAAGCGGTGTCGAGGGCAGGCCACACACACACACACTCAGAGATGGAGAAAAATAATACGCACACACCACACACCACATACCACATACAAGCAACGTCGTGCCACAGCAAGAGTAGCAAGCTCGAGCGGGTTTATCGGGTCTGAATGGCTGGATTTATGAATGCACACCACAACTGGTGTGCATGTGATTGTTTTTGTTGTAAATGTGTCTGCGCACGTATTAGTGCACCCGCACTTTCCTTGTGTATGCGTATTCAATGCTCTTGCGCTCTACTCTCAGCCCGGCGCACAAGGCATAGCATGGCATGGCATGGCATGGCATGGCAAGTCGGTAGTGGGGAGCTGTGTATGTGTGTATATGTGTGTGCGTAACTTGATTTGTTGTTTTTGTGAAAATCCACCATGCATACACAAAAACAACAACAACAAAAATGTATGCTATCACCACCAATCCCACCATTAAGCATTGCAACAACAGCTACTACAACAACAACAGCAATAATAGCAACAACAACAACACTGCTATCATGCACGTACAGCTATGAAAACAACCAACTAATCAGGACGTCACAAACGTACTGGAGGATGTGCTCTACGCGTATAGCTCTGTGTGCGTGTGCGTGTATGTGTTTTTATTTTCTTACTTTGTATTAGTGGCAGTCAGAAAGTGAAGACGAACTCAAACATTCAGAGTAAAATAGCAACACTTTACTTGTTGGCTGTTGATTGTTGTTGTATTTGTATGAGTTAGAGAGTATCTAGCGGCATATATGTATGTATGTATATATGTACATGCATATGTTGTTGTTTTTGCTTGGCCGGTGTTTAGTGCCACCTACTGTTGTTTTACTACTCTCGCTCACATTTGTTGTTGTCTAACTACATACATTTACATACGTACATACGAGTATATGTAATTTGCAGTTAGTGTTCGTAAGTGTATTTGTTGTTTGGCATTTGTTGTTATTGTTTTTACTAATAACGTCGCTGCTGTTTTTGCCACTTAGCGCTCAGCCGTCGGTGGGGATTCGTAAATGCATGCATACATGCACAGATATAAATACATGTATATATATATATATATGTATGTATGTATACATATATGTATTCATATATACATTTATATGTAATTATGTATGTATTTACTTACCAACAAGATACCAGTGCCAGTTAGACGGCTAAACAGTTAAGTTACTCACTGCACTCACTTCCTTGATCAGAGTGAGATGTTAGCGGTGCGCCTGATTAATAGAGAGAAACGATGTATGAAAACAACAATATTATCTTTCCTTGTTTATGGAAATAACATGAAAAACTTTAATTTTTGTAATAAGACCTACTGACTACCGCTACAATAATATATACATATGTATGTATATATGTATGTAAATAGATGCATATGTTCATAATGACGGAGGAACTAACTAAAAATACGAATAAAATGTCATTCATTCTAAAATTTAAATCAGAAAGAATAATTAGTTATACTGAAGCCTGCATAGCCGAGCGGATAATAATATGTGGACTGCAGATCAGTAAAATGACGTGAAATTCACTCATTTGAAAAGTTCAAATCTTAGGAACAGTCAGCATAAAGCCAACACTAACACAAAATGGGGAGCAGCACATAACTTTAGGTTAGGTTAGGTTTAACTGGTTGACCCAGCGCATCTCGCGTACAGGATATTACGCCCCTATTGCTGGCAGATACAATTTACATACGACTAAGTAGCACTGCTACACTCTCTATTGTGTCTGTATGTACTTTGCCATGTACGACAGTGATTCAGTCATTTCGGTTTCAGGATACACAGAAATTGATGGGATTGATATAGCGGACAAGCTGGCTAGGTAAGCAGTAGCAACCTCTGCGATAGGACCGGAGCCCTTTTTATCCTTAGGACCACACACAATTGAAGCAGGGTTTCGAAACGGAGGAAAAGTATTAAGGGAAAGGTTCAGGCTTAGAAGCGACGGGATTTTACAATCCAAACGGCTAATTATTTTACTTAAGGGGTAAAGCCACTCTAGGATTTAGGAAAACGCTATTTTTTTGCTTCCAGATAACTTTGTGTTCTAGAAATGATATGCAATTTTTTTTCCATTTCTTTTCCCATATTACTGCAATAAATTAAAAAAAAATTAGTCTATTTTTCAACCCCTATGCCTTACCCCTTAATTTGAGAATCATCACATCAAAGATAGAAAAAAATGCACATAAAGATATATTAGCTTTGAGCCGAGTGGACTAACGAGATATTGAAACCAAAATTGTTACGCAGATGCCTTTGTATTGCTCAGATCGGAAAATCATCTAAGAACTTGAAATTTGGAATTCCACACACCTAAATTCAATCAATAGCGAAATATGAACATCAAACGACCTGGTCTAGACTGCGCTTAGACCCATGACCCACTGCATTGTTTGACATACACGTACAGCTAATCATTCAAAACGGCGGCCGCATCGGAACTCATTCTTCCGGCAGAGAGCACGCTGAAAGTCCAGCCTAGCCGAGCTAAAGCCAATAAATGCGAAAAATACTCTTTGTAGCTGAGGGGTTAGAAATCAATGCAAACTTTCGCTGATACAGCAAAGTAGAAGCCGAGTGCAGTCGAGAGGAATCGAGAGTAAAACTGACTGAGACCTCGTTTGGTATCGAACGGCTCGGAGAGGCTATTTCTGATGTTGCGGAGTAGAGGCAGCTCCTTATTGTCAAAGGCCTTAAAATCAAAAATAGGGTGGTGTGTAACTTTCCTACTTTTACGGGCTCTTTCCAAGATTTTGCGCATGGTGAATATTTGATCAATGTTTGTTTTACCAGGCCTAAAGTGTGGATAAGGTCCAATAAGTTTGTTTACAGTGGGTTTTAATCTTTAGTATGCTCGATAGGCCCTTATATTTGATATCGAGGAGCCTTTTCCTGGAGTTGACGAAATCATAAGTGCACATTGACCATTACTGTCTAGGACCTTTTTGTAACTTCTCGAATAGATTGCCAATGTTTTACCAACCAAGAAGCTTTACAAGTATCGAAACAAATGACAGTTAGTTGGCCAAGATTCGGGCTAAAGATGGATGCATCAAAACTTCATAATCAAGCTCCGCCATTTTTTTTTTTTGTAAAAAAAATATCACATAATGCGTTTCCTAGGTAATTTCACTCAGTTTCAAATCAAAATAATTTTTCACACATTGTACGATGTAGAGAACTGTTGAACTAAAAATCTTGACACTATTGGTTTTGTGATGCCGTAATATTAAAAATACTATCTAGTGATAAAAACTGCAGATAACATATGTATCCTGCAGGGCAAAAATCAGAGAGCAATCAACTTACTACGTGTATGTAATCATGGTAATGTTCTGCAACTGTAAATTATTCGACTATGCATCAGCTTCATACTAGTTAAATACTAGTTCATTTCTGCATGGGAAATTTCTATTTCGAAATTACTGTAAGCGAAAAATAAAAATGAATTAGTCTACAGCGAGATTCGAAACGTCGATGTCTAACGCCACGGTAATAACCTCTATGCACTCGGCTTTTCGTGACAATGTCTGGATTGCAGTTCTATTTTGCTCACTTCAACAGATGGTAACTGAAAACGGAACTCAGTCGTGGCGTGCCGTGGTATGCCGTTACTGATAACAAATATCCAACTGGCAAGATTTCGTATTCAAAATACTAGTATTTAACCAGAACCTTTGTCTAATAGTCTGCCTACCTTCTCACTGCATGGTTGCAATCGATTTTCAAACGAGTCAAATCGGCTCAGTGAATCTAATGTTAAATTATTTGTATATACGCGTTTTCCTAATTTTTGCTGAAATTCTCTACAGGTTGCTACACTCATTATTTTTCCATTGAAATTAAACAACAAAAAAAGTTTTCAATTTTCTTCTTTTTATGAAGAGAGTACACGTAACCTCATTTCGACTTTAATTAATTTTCTTCAATTATTCGTAAACTAAGCACTTTATTTGTTGTTGTTTACTTTCATTATTTACTGGGTTTTATTATTCTTACCACTTTCTGCTTGTGTGTGTGTGCAGTACATTAGGTTGGCACTCATTTTCTGAAATAAATTTACTTTGTTTTTTATTACTATTTAGAGCTCCATGTATGTCGGACCCATTTCTGCAGCGGATGGTGACTGATGATGGAAAGTGTAATACGCACAGCTATGTTAAATGAAAACGGTCGTGGTCGAAGAACAGGTGACCCGCAAAAATACTCCATCAGTCAGCATTGACGGCCTGAAAGGTCTTGTTGTGTGTTTGGTGGGGTTAGCAAAGAAGCATACACTATGAGCTACTCTCCTCTTAATTCGGACTTATACTGTCCACTATTGGATCGTCTGAAGGAAGTAATCAACGAGAACCGTCCAGGTTTGACTAAAAGGAGGGGAGTGGTATTTCATCAGAGCAACGCCAGACCGCACATATTATTGAAGCTCCATCTGTTCAGGTCCATGGCGAATGATTTGACTGGTAAAGAATTTGCCTCAAGAGATGACTGTAAAAATGGATTGTCCCAATTTTCTCGTATTAAAAAAGGACCAACTTAATATGCGTATTCGCACATACAAAAATAAATAGAAAACAACAAATCGTACTAAGTTAGCTGTCAATTATATAGCACAGCTGTTAACGAAAATTCCAATGAATTACAATTAATTCTATACATACTAACAAACACGCCTTAAAGCCGACATTATTTGACAGCAAAGTGGGATATATCTTATTCACTCTAATATTGTCGTAAAATAGAGCTTCTGAAGCCCAAAAGGAAAGTAAGGAAGAAAGTGAGTATGCCGTGGAGGGAAGCATTTCGACTCGCATGTTTTGGCAAAATAATCCGAGTGGTTAGCGAAAGCGAATGCGGTTACAACAACAACAATAACAGTCATTAGAGACCGTAACCAGGCCTCAGCACTAG